ATAGTGATGTGTCTCGATTGATTATCTCCCGCTTTCTCTCCTAAGTAGGAGCAAATCGGTGCGCTTCCCTTGCGTAAAAGAACTTCTTCCGGAACTCTTCCATTAGTTTCCAGGGTAATCCTCCTACGCAAGGATCCCACCTTCTTGTCTTATGAACGGTGGATGCGTGTGTACTGTGCAATTGGACCCATCTTTTCCGGTGCATGTCTCATTTTCGCACCTTCCACAGTGAATGCATGTATGAAATATGTGACTCTTTTGTTGATTAGACGATTATCGTCGGGATTTTGTTCGAGAATGCATGAGTGTTTAGATCTGTAGCTTTGTTTGCACTGCGCATGCCGTCTGCCTTATGCTGCACGACATCAGCCGCCGAGCCACGAGGCGGCCCTGAGAAACAAGGCGCCCAGGGACCTACGTTGTGTTGAACTGATTGGACCCGTAGCCATATGCGTGATCAAGCTGATCTGTATTTGCTCTCTCTCTCTCTCGTGTCAAAAAGATTGATTGGGGGACGCGCGAATCGCTTTGTTCTTAATGACGTCCCATGATATTTTGTGAATTGATTGACATGTGGACTGACAAGTACCCTTCGATTGGGTGCCAGCCTCCCGTATCTCCCATCCCAACGCGACCTTTTCCTTACAGTGAGGAAAGGACCCGCGTATGTGAGTGGGACGTACGAGAAGCCGTTGCACAAATCGGCGGGCAGTATTACTTCCCTCCGGCCAACCGCTGTTCTGGGTTTGTAGAAGCCGGGTTTGTTATTATTGATACGCACTTCCCACCTTACCCGGTATTGTTGTCATTTAAGGAGTTGATTGTCATTCCGTGGACGGCAGTAGAACCCCACTGGCCGCGCACTCTGTGCACCGAATGTCAGCGTTTTGAGCGCTATGAGTCCAGGGTTTTTCACTACCGTGTGCGGAGCGAAGACGAGCATAAAAAAAGAGCCACGCGGCTGAGACCCTCCACGTCAGACTCAGAACTAACCGGCGAACGACGACGAGATTTAATACGAAAACGAGACACACGACGCGTGTCCAAGCCTTTCTGTTCTAAACGACGGGCTGTAGCCCGGTGGGAGGCACGACAATACTTTTTGGATTGAATTTGGATTTTTCCCTCTCTTCCCGCTTTACCGCGCGCGCATTTTGCGACGCGCGAAAACAATCGACTTGCTCCATCGGACCAACACGGGGGATTTCAGTTTCGTTTGTGTCCCCACACTCAATTTCCAAAAATCCTTGGCACACCCCATCTTGCTGTTTTTCTGGGACTCTTTTCCGCACAGCTAACACTCCGAACGGAAGACAGCACAGGGCGTGAGGTTGCGCGTCACAAACGCCCAAGGTAGGGAACATTGGATCTTACTGGGTGAGCATATTCTAGGAGAAGAATGGGGACTGGCGCGCAAAGAGGATGTTTGGACCTGTCTCCAGCTTGATTCATATGTTAACAGGAAGATCTGTTCCACGTTTTGGGCTGGTATGGTGGCGGCATGGAAGAAAGTGAAACCGAACGAATGGTTGGAACTGGTCACAAAACAAGAAGTGCTGAGACAGCCACTATTCGACAACCCCAGAATCTGCAACTCTATGGGAACGAGGTTCAGAGCAAACAAGGAGGCAGGCACTTTTGGGGATAAGTGGATCAGAAGAGGTGTCCTCGGCGTTGCCGACATCTGGGAACCCCTAGAAGGACGATGGGGCACAGCGGAGGAAATCAGACGGAAACTGGGTAATCTGCACCGGGTAGAGGAGAAGTTTGCAGAGCTAATGGAAGCAATACCTCAGTCTTGGCACTACCTCCTGGCCCCAGAAGGAGTGGATCCACCGGGTACATGGTACTCAACACTCAGAGTTGGGGAAGCAAGTAGATACTGGAAACTAACCTCTTATTCACTGGAGGGCAGAAGGATATTCCAGGAATGGGAGAAGCCACCCAGAAGTAATCAGCTGCAACTTGTGGATGAGCAGGCCGCGCACCCTCCGATGGACATACCTCTGGACCAAGTTAGGGTGGAGGAAACCTGGGACAAGGCGAACAGCCATTCCTGCTTGCTTCTTACAGAATGCCCAGTAGCAGAATGCAAAATCGATCCAGCAGCATGGGGATGGAGGGGCCTAGGCAGAAACGGCACGACGTTGAAGCTACACCAGATGAAGCAAACTGCAGAAATTCGACAACCGCCTACGCAGCCTTTGGCAGTAGCCACAAGCCGCTGGAACTGCACAATAGACAGCTCCAATGAACTGGTAAATAGGGGAATGAAGAGACTTGTGACTCAACTTAAGCTGCTCCCTTCTCAGAAACATGCAGCTCTTCTCTGTCATCTCTCGCTCTTAGTCACTCCCTCGGCTGTGTGGTTGGCAGGCAAAGGAATGGAAGTCAGGCTATCATGCAGCAGGTGCACTTGGCCATACGAATCCACAACCCACCTATGGTGGGATTGTCCAGCGTCCAGCAGGATTTGGAGGTGGTGGGAGTCCCATTGGAAAGAGTTCTCTGAATGGGAGTGGAGTTGGGACAGAAACTGGGTCTTGCTGGGTATATTGCCAGAGGACCTGCCATATGCAAACGGCTGTGGTTCTGCGGTGCAAACATGCAGAGCGATAATATGCTCAGTCATTTGGGACTGCCGCAACAAGGCAGTATTCAAGGGCAAGGGAACCACAGATGAAGAGACGAAGACGCTGATTCGGTGCAGACTCCGTCAGGCTATTAAGGCAGATTGGAACAGGAAAGGCTGCCAAGGAAAGAGAAACAGCAGCAACTGCAGATGGTTCTTGGACACTTGGGGATGTGGCAAGATATCGAATTGGTTAGTTAACGTGGACAGGGAGGGGAACTTGGAATTCTGCTCATGGTTAGAGGTAGGAGTATAGAATGAACCAGGACACTCGGCTCGGATAAGCCGCAGGAGGCAGGCAGTACAGTGGCTAGGTGAATCTGGGTTGGGATGGGGAAGGAGTGTCAGAACTCAGTAGATGGCGTAATAGACTGGATAGGATTAGTTTAGCATAGAAGGCACACGAAGAGCAGAGAGCTCGATGGAACATAGGACTGTGAACTTTTGCTCACTCGACTAAGTGGTCAGTCCATAAGCGGGACAAGGTCCCACCGCCCAAGGTTCAACCGGGTTGTTTGTGAGGATTCCCGGCCTCAAAGTTCATGGTTTGATCATGGATTCTCAACTTTTCCCGAAARAAARAAAAAAAAAAAAAAAAAAAAAGACAGGGGCGATGCACAATTTAATTTACTGCATAACGGTTTGCTATCCCGGTCATTCCTGCGATCTTTCATGTTGTTCCCTGCCTTCATGTTTAGTCCTGTTTCCCGCCTTTCCCACAATGCGTTGCTTGGGGAGAAGGCTCACCACTCGGAGCTGCTCCGACGCTACGCAGAACGAAGTCTGACCGCGGCGAATCCAAGAATTTCGCCCTCGTGAGGTCGGAGGCAACCAGGCACCCTGGTTGGACCGTTCCGCGCCTGATGTGTGTTGACGTGGACGACTTTTTTTTTTTTTTTTTTTTCAGATGGTACCTGAGCGGGTCTTTTTGCGTTGTTTTTTGGCGGGTGGAGTTTCGCCGCAGGCCCAGTTTTACAGATTGTACGCTCTACACCTGTCGCCCACACAAAATCTTCTTACTTACCGCGCAGTGCTTCCGACGCGTCTCCTTCGCTTGCAACTCCGCGGCGCGCGTTGGGCGTTTCATTCCTTGGATGCACTCGACGTCTCCCTGCGATAGGCTGGCAGCCTTGGTGGTGAGGAGGCGGGAGCTGGGTATATTTGTGTGGTATGTGCGGCAGGAGAAGGCTTTTACTTAGAAACTTCGTTAATTACGGCGTTAGAGTCTTAGCAATTCGCCAAAGACGAAAGGACTTTGCTCTCAAACTTGCACGTTTCGTGACTTCTCTCTCTCTCTCTCCTCTCTCTCTCTCTCTCTCTCTCTCTCTCTCTCTCTCTCTCTCTCTCTCTCTCTGTGTCTGTCTGCCCGGCCCCGCTCTTTTCCGCTCTCTCACGCCCTCGCTCTCCAAATAGCTGCAGGGAAGGGCCGGTTTGGTAGGCGACACGCGGCGGGTCATCCTGCGGGTAAGTTGCTTCTTGACGTCCTCTTCCCCCTCCGTTTACCTCGTGCTGTCCCCTGATATGCTTCCCTGGCGCCTTCTCTTCCCTACCTCGTTCCTCCTGCTAGTCTCTGTGTCGTTTTGAATACCGGTTTGGTGGCGAGGAAAGACCGAGGGCCAGGACTACAATAATGACAGGGTAGGGCCCTTACGATGGAAGGGGCTGCAAAGGGCCGAATGGAGCAGGAAGGAAGTAGCAGAACGATGTACATGGAGAGAAGGGGTCAAAGCTTGCGGAAAGCCAGCTACACGACCATGACATGCAAGTGGACGAGGTGGGCAAAGGAGCAGACGACGTGGGGGAGGAGGAGCAGGAGGGGTGAAAAACATAAAGCTGGTTTCGGGAAGATGGGGATCGGATAATGCACTTCAAAAACTTGTCTCCAAAGCGGAGAGTTTTGAAACCTTTGTATCTGCTTTTTCGTTTATTCAACTTTATTGTCACATAACAACATGAAAAAAATCACCCTTTTTCTCCTCCTCCTCCTCCTCCTCCTCCTCCACTTCTCACTCCTCTTTTCTCCCTTCGTTTAAATATAATTTCGCCTTCTTCCCTCCCGTTGCCCCTCTCCTATCTCCCCCTTTTCCCCCAGCGCCTGGCTCTCTTTTTTCCTCGGGCTTTTCCTTCTTCTCGTTGCTACGCTTAGTTGCTTGTTTCTTACCAGTGGGATGACTACCCACATGTCGCCCGCTCGATGTGGATAGCCATCCTCCGAATGAGGTCCTCTTTTGCCTCGTCGACTTCTTTTCCTATCGTCGTCAGCCTTGGGGCGTCTTGGTCTTGGTCGATATCCACTCTGCCTTCCTTCATGTTGTGTACTCCTCGCGTGTCCCGTTAAGCCTCCCTCGTCGATGATTCTGATGTTGGGCCGCGGGATGATGGCGAGCAGGCGCTGACGTGGGTAAGTGGTGATGATGATGATGATGATGATTAAGGCAGAAGATGGGGGGGATATCGCTAGTATGGTGCCGCGGCGCGGCGGGGCGGGGGGAGGGGATGGCCGGAACTATTTGCGTGGCAGTTGGGAAAAGCGCGGGAGGGAGAGACGCGCGAGGAGATGGGAAGAAAAGAGAACGTCAGGACAGAAAGATGTCTACAGAATCTAGCGATGAATCAATCAATCCTTGTCGATTTCCAGGGGATGGTTTTTGGAGGGTATTCCACCAGTTGAGCTGGCGACTCTCACGGCTTCGCGACTGCCTAGGTGCCCTTTCCGCCTTGTCATACCGGATAACTCACTTCGCCTCACCTTCTTACTTGCGGAAGGTATTTCACGAAAACTTACTGTGTGGAACGGGGGGTTTGCCGCCGTTTCCTTCGTCTTCTGTTGTTTACTTTCTCAGTTTTTTTTTTTTTTTTTTTTTTGAGCTTATGCTGTTCATAACGTCGCCATCGTTTCTATGACGAAGACATGTTTCCTCCTCTCACTCTGTGGAACGAGGGAAGGGTTTTAAACACAGTTTTTCCCTTTTGCTTGTTGTTTCTATAAAGTAGAGTAGTCGCCGTTTGCTTTTCTGTGCGGTTTTTTTTTTTTTTTTTTTTTTTTTTTTTTTTTTTTTTTTTTTTTTTTTTTTTTTTTTTTTTTTTTCTGTGCGTTTTCCTCTCCTAACTTTCTCCCTCTTCTAAATTTTCTGTATTGAACTCTTCCCTCTCTCGGCTTTTCTGTCCTTTTTCCCCCTTCTTGAGTCGTTTTTTTCCTCCCTTTCTTTTTCTGGGCTCATTTTCCACTCTCTTCTCCTGCGCCTTAACACTTAGTGTCGTTGCGTCTGCTGACTGATGGCGTGGGAGACTTCGTCTGTTTGTAAGACCGAAAATTCTGAAAACACCGGTTCCAAAGTACGCGCCTTTGGTTCCAGCTTCTTTTCTCTCTGTCTTTACTTTCGTATGCCGCCGGTCATGCCGACCCCCTCGTGTTCATTTTTCGAGTCTCCATGGGCTCGTCACGGATCCCCGATAATGTCGAATCCAACATACTATATTTGAACTGCTGAAAAATAGCGTGCTCGTTCATCTAACGAATAAAAACGGCGCTTCCGGAACTGTCCTTTCTGCCTCCGCCAACTTCTCTTTTTTTTTTTTTTTAATAATATATTCTCGATTTATGCGTGTTATCCTTGTGCAGGGGCCATGCTAATCTTCTCTGTATCGTTCCAATTTTAACGGATGTCCTGAAGGACCAACTTCTCTTTATGTCCTCCTTAGTGTGTCGTTCATCGTACGCAGTCCCGGGGTCCCTTCCTGGCCTCCCTCCCCTCCCCTCCCCTCCCCTTCCCTCCCCTCCCCCTCCCCCCCACCTTTCTCCCCTGTTTTCCCTACCTGACCATCCCGGTGTCTGTGCAGACGCCCTATCACAATCTCTCTCTCTTTTTCACCACCAATCGGATGACAGATGTGACACGTCGCCGGCAAGGACCGCTCACTTAAGGTGGGGGGGTCTGAAACTGCGGCGCGTTCCAGGACCTTGGAGGCTTTCCACAGAACGCTCCCGTGAACCTTAAGCAGATCGCTACGGCGGGGTATCACGATGCTCAGCCAGGACAGAAACGATTGGGCTGAAGCGTATGCTACACTCCAAAGCTGTAAGCTTGTGCCGGCCTTGAGCCACAGCCACTCACGCCGAAGAGCATACTTCCAGACTATACTCCTTGTTTTGGTAGGACTCCAAAAAACACTGGGGACAACCGCTTTCCTCCATCCTCGTCCCTCTATATATAGTATTCTATTTATTTATTTATTTATTTAATGATATTATATTCTACATTAACATAAACATTTATTTTATGAATCTATTCTATTTTATTCATTGAATATTACATAGAGAATGTATACCTACATTTCTTAATTAATAGATAGAACATACAAAGTTCCAAAACACGGTTAACAACATCCTCCTAATGATTGATTAATAAATATAAGGAAGGACAAAATCCAAAATCCAAAATACTGTGTTCTTGAACACAGTATTTTGGATTTTGAACACAGTATTTTGGATTTTGGATTTTGGATAGGATTATCTAAGAAGCTTTGGGACTTAATTTACGGGTAATTAGCAAAATACCCCCGTAAGTTGAGATACATGCCAAAATGCCCCTGAAAGATGTGGGTAGAGCGGAATGCCCCTCTGACAAAAAAAAATATTTTGTGAAATACCCTTGGCGTCGGTTGGACCCCCATCTTTGCAGTATACCCCTACCGGGTACCATCGAACTTTGCAAAATGCCCCAGTACTTGCCAACTTTTCCTAGGTGCGTTTGCAAAAGGCCAATCCCCAAACGGGGAGGAGGTCCAGATTGCAGAGTTGCACACCCGCCTGACAGGGGCACAACACAAAGATTTCGGCTCAAGAGGGCATTCCGTTCTACCCAGATCTTTCAGGGGCACTTTGGCATATATCTCAACTTATGGGGGTATTTTGCAAATTATCCCTTTAATTTATTATGAGTGCTAATATAGATACAGTCAGTACTAATTGAATGAATTTGATTTGATTTAATTTTAAAAAGAATCAAAACTAAATTTTGTTCAGTGAATGAATCAATTTTTTATTTGTATTTACTGGGGACTCAGTGGGGAGCCGTATGAAATCAAAGTTTCACGTTCGGTGCTGTAGTAGAGATTTTGAAAGATGATTTTTTTTCATATCGACTATAACCCTTAGCCTTCCAAGGTCTAATGATACGGGCTCGATTCCCGTTACCCGCTAACAGAGAAGAATTACTCGTTCTTAAAAAATAGACAGAAAGAGTAATTCATTTCTATTCAATCATTGTTAGAATCAAAAGCAAGGGGTTATATACATCTATCTATATATTCAATGATTATTTATACCCTTATTTAGATCAGATAATTATCCTTTATAATAGATGAATATCTTTCACCCCCCCCCCATGTCCTGTCTTCCTTCTCCGTCTTGTCCTCTCGTCCTCCTCCTCCTCCTCCTCCTCCTCCTCCTCCTAGGTGATCTCGCCATGCGGTTCAATGATTTGTTGTTTGTAAACAGAGCCTCAGGCGAAGGACTCGCTAGGCGCATCCTCTTTTTTCTGACTTGGGTGATCAAATCAGGCTTTTACGCTGGATAGCAGCCGGTCAATCTGTCAGCTGAATTGGAAGTCGTCCCCTTGTTTTCCTCATGGCAACGTTTGTCGGGGTCTTCTCCCATCACTACCTTTAGCCTTGTGGATCCTGCACGAGTAGCGGAGTGTCCCACCATTAGGAAGATTCCGAATTTAAAAAAGAAGAAGAAGAAGAAGAAGAAGAAGAAGAAGAAGAAGAAGACGAAGAAGAAGAAGAAGAAGATTCCAAATTCACACTTTACCGTTTGGAACCGTTCCGCTTCACCGTTGCGATAACGGGACCAAGGGTGACAGAAAGCGCGCCATTGCTATGAATGACTCGTAGCAGAAGTGTACAGGGACTTCATCATCCAACTTACAAGCTGGCTGGCTGCCGTACTAAGCTAACAGCAGTGAAGAAAAGTCGGAGCATGACTATTCCCTCACACCATGATTTCAATCGCCATGGACATATAGGGAATGAAACACATCCTGAGGCCATACTCATACTAGGAAAGGACTTTCCTGGATGTTTCTGAGCGCTTTTACGGCAAGGCATGGATGCACCTGACCGACCTGACCGTAATTATTTTGCGCTGTGGTTGTATGAGCTTCTGGCTCTGTGGTATACTGAAGTTTTTACTGTTTGGGAAAAAAGGAAGAAGAAGAAGTGAAGTGAAGTGAAACTTACTCCAGACAGCAATCTGTCCGTCCGCACCGATCCAAGGATCGAACACGTGACCTCCACGTTAAGAGGCAAACACTCAACCAAATGGCTAAGTGGACTGAGATGAAAGTTAAGCCCCAAGATGAGTACTTAACCCACCCCAGCATGGGTACTCGTTTTTCCCCGCGACCCGGTGTACCCAGTCACACACGCGCACCCAACCAGGGTGTGTAGACGTAGCCACC